GGGGGGGGGGGCAGCACGGGGCGAGGAGGGTGTTAGCGCCGGGAGTGGGCGAGCCGAGGCCCCAAGCGACGGGATGCGCAGCTGCCCTGCTGGTCATGGGCAAGCGGTCGTGCCGCCTCGCCCGGTCCTGCGCGACCGAGGAGGGGCCCAGTCGGGGATAGGGGCGGGGGAGGGCCGAGAAATATGCCGCGACGCGGCGTGACGCGATGCAACAGGAGCCGGACGCGAGAGTGGCGAGGAGCGAGCGAAGGCAGGGGCGGGGGCAGGGGCGGGGGCGGGGGCGGGGGCGGGGGTGAAGGCAAGGGAGGACACACAATGTGGGGGAAGGGAGGACGACAGATCAAAGGGACGAAAAGTCGACACGGGGGTGCGCGTCCCGGGCGCGAGCCCCCGGGCCGCCGCCAGGGCCCCTCTCGAACGCCCTCACACGCGCGCGCGCGCGCGCGCGCACACGCCAGCCCGCCCGCCCGCGGAACACCCACACCCCCCCCTCCCCGGGCCCGGGCCGGTTCCCCTGCCGGCACGCGCGTGTTCCCCCGGCCGGCCCCGCTGGCCACGAAAGGGACAAACTGCCAATCGAGGCGCACGCCCGAGGCCGGCCAAACGTGCGCGGCGCCGCCTCGCGCCCTCGGCCCCCGGGCGGCAGCAGCAGCGCACAGCCCCCCGGGCTGGGCCGGCGACAGGCCCGGCGCAGTCGAAAGGGCCCCGCCGGGAACACACCGCCGGAGGCCCGCCCCACGCGCGGCGGTTGGCGCACGCGCGCATGCCGCCCCCTCCCATTGTCGATGCCCTCCCGCGGTTCGGCCCCGGGCCGGCCCGGCGGCAGGTTGAAAGCCGGCCAGCAACAGCGCGACGACACCCGGCCGGGGCACACCGGCGCGGCGCCAGACAGCCGGGCCGGCCCGAGGAGGAGGAGGCCGCCGACAAGGCCCAGGGGGGAGGGGGGGCCCGGAGGCAGGGCCGCTCGCGCTGGGACCCGGTTCTGGAGGCGGTGACTGATCGCGGGGAATGGCATTTATTGGCGGCACGTGACGTGTCAGTCATCCTTGAGATCGCGTCTGGTGCTCCGGAATGGGAGGCCGGTCTCGGCCAGCCGGGAAAGGTCGGCCACGCTGAGCAGCGCATGCACCAGGAGGAACCACCCGCACGAGCCGATCATGATGGCCATGGTCCACAGGTCGGGCAGGCGGCCCGGCGGCCGGACGAGCAAGTCGGCCAGGTGCACGGCCACCATGCCGATCAGGCCCGGAAGCCACAGGTGCGACACCAGCGCCAGGGCCGCTCGGGCGAGGGGGCCCTGCTGCGGCCGGGCGCCGGTGCCGGGCCGAGGGGCCCCCGGGGCCGGGCGCGTCGAAGGCAGCAGCAGGCCCAGCCCGAGCCAGGCCACCTGGAGGCCGGCATAGCCGAAGGTCTGGCCATCGCGCCGGAGCAGCGGGAAGCAGCTGAACAGGGCAAAGTGGATGAAGGTGTGGAGGGCGCGCGCGGCGATGGCCCGATCGGCTGCCGTGGCCGGGTGGCCGGCCGCCGGCGGGCCCGGGGCCGCCGCGGCCAAAACCAGCAGGCACATGAGCACGGCCACCGGCATGGCGGCGATGAGGATGCTCTTTTCATGGACCTGGAAGCTGGCCAGGAAGAAGCTCAATGCCCCGGTGGCGGTGGCCTGGAGCAGGCGCAGGCCGGTGGGCCGGCGCGCGGCCGCCAGGCAGGCCGGCAGGCACAGCAGCAGGGTGGTCCCGGCGGCCATGGTGGCCGCCTGGCGCAGAGTCAGCATGCTGCGCAGCTTGACGGCCGGCGACACGGCACACCAGATGTTGGCCACCTTGTCCTCGAAGAGGCCGCGCCCGACCGGGAACACCCGGCGGAGGACCGCCAGCGCGGTGCCCGCCGGGCCGAGGTGGTCCTTGGCCTCGGTGGCCAGCATGCTGTCCAGTACCAGCGGCAAGACCGGGGCCAGGAGCCCGGCCAGCGCGGCCACCGCCAGCAGGAGGAAGCGCCCGGCGAAGGGCCCCGGTCGGCCGTGCGCCTGCCGCCAGCTGGCGCCGATCATGAACCCGGCAAAGGGCAGCGTATAGAAGAGGGCCATCTGCTTGAAGGTGACCGCCGCGCAGAGGGCCACCACGCCGAGCAGGCGCTTGGCCGAGATGGCCGGGCGTCCGGCCGGGCCGGCCTCATCGAACAGCAGCCCCAAGGCCGCCAGCATGAAGCCCACCATGACGCCATTGTACTGGAAGTGCCCGTGGTCGAAGATGATGAGCGTCGGCTCGAAGACGACAGCGGCGAAGACGGCCGCCTGGGGGTGTGGTGTGTGTGTGTGTGGGGGGGGGGGGGGGGGTGGAGGGAGAGGTGGAGGAGTGTGGAGGGATATGGAGGGGAAGAGCAGGAAGAGGGGGATGAAGGGACATGCACAGAGAAAGGCATGGACAGGGAAAGGCATGTAGAGAGAAAGGCATGGACAGGGAAAGGCATGTAGAGAGAAAGGCATGTAGAGAGAAAGGCATGTAGAGAGAGAGGCATGCACAGAGAGAGGCATGCACAGAGAGAGGCATGCACAGAGAGAGGCATGCAGAGAGAGAAAGACATGGACATAAGGGGTGAGACATGGAGACGGGAGGCGATGCAGGGAGGATGGGCCTTTGCCCGGACCGCCCAAGCGCAAAGAGGAGACCACTCGGAGGACGGACCCTGAGGAAGGGATGCCGGGGGAAGAGCCGCATAGCCAGCAGCCAGGCGGCCGGGAAAAGGACCACCAGGTCACACAGAATAACCGACAGGCGCATGAAGGCCACCAGGCCGGGGGCCTCGGTGCCGCGCGAGGAGACGGCAGCCACCCAGGCCGGGTCGAAAAAGGCCGCACATCTGGCGGCACCATGGGGGGCGAGAGCGGTCAGTCCAGGCCAGGGGGCCAGCGTCGGGCAGAAGAGGCAGCAGCGACGGCCCCTTGGGACGATGGGCCGAGGGGCGGATGGGGGGGGGGGGGGGGGGGGGGGAAGGGCCAAGGAAGGCAGCCAGCCGAGCGCGGGCCCCCGGGGGACACGTACAGCTTCCCCAGTGCGAAGGCCAGGTACCCCGACAGGGGGGGATAGTCCAGCGGCCAGTAGGCGGGGTCGTTCAGACCCCCGGGCGCATGGTCGTTCAGATACCACCGCCGGGGGGGCAGGTTGGTGGTGATCTCCATCCAGTGGCGCTGGGCCTCGAAGTCCCCGTGCTTCGGCGGGTCGCCGAGGCCGGAGAAACCGCCCCGGCCGACGGCGAAGCGCACCGCCAGCCCGACGGCCAGGATGGCCCACGGCAGGGCCCGGCCGATGTACCGCCAGTCGGGGCCGGCGTCAGCCGGGGTGGGGGGTGCCGGCGCGAGGGGCGCCGGCACATGGCGCTGGCCAGGGCGCCGCTCGGCCGGGAGGGGGGATGTCATCGGGCGCGTGGGTGCGGAGGGAGGAAAGAAGGGGGGGGGGAGGGGGCAACGGGGCGGAGAAGGGCGCAGGAGGGCGCCGGTGTGTGTGCGCGCATGCCAATGTCTCCGCCGCCCGCCTCGACGTGGCCGCCCCGGCGGATGGCTAAATACACCGCGGGTCACTGTCACCGGGGGGGGGGGGGG